CGATCGACCGCGCGCCCGCTCCGTCGCCCTACCAGACCGGGGAGGGGGGGAGGGCGCGCCAGGGCTTCTTCGAGTTAGGGGCCTGACTCCCCGGCGACGAGACAAGATGGCTCCTCCGGTCCGCACCGCAGCTACCGTCCCGGCTGCGTCGCTCGGCCCGCCCCCGGTACTGTTTCTTTAAATGGCGGAGAGGGTCACGAAAGCAGGAAGAGAGGCGCGCTCTGTCACGTGACAGGGGCGGACCCAGCGAACAAGATCCGGTCACGTGGACTCATTTTGCCTACCAATCAGGACGCGTCGTTTCAGGGCGGGGGCGGGAGGAGCTTCGGCTCTGTGATTGGCTGAACGCGCCGCGGAGGCCTCGGGGGTTCGGGGCGTCGGGGAGTGCGCGAGGGAGCCCGATTCGTGTGCATAGGCGGAGACAAAGCGGTGGCTGTGGTGGCCGCAGAGGCGGCTGTGAGGCACATGGTTCCAAGAACAAGCTGCGGTTGTTGGGTTCCAATTCCGTGGGGAGGGACAAAGGCAGCCGCGAGCGCCGGGCAACGCCCCGTCGGGTGGTGCGCTTGCCATTGCCCTTCATCCGGGCTCTGAAAGCTGGGCCCAACTCCTCCTCTGGAGCAGAGGCCCGGGAAGGGCCTGAGGGGCCGAGGCAGCAGTCTGAGGAGAGTGGGGGGAGGGGCGTGCCCGTCTGAGGTGATTTGGGCGGCTTCGTTGTGAGGCGCTTTAGTGGGTCATTGTGAGGTAATCGAACTCACTACCCTTAGGAGAGCGGGGTGGGGCTCTGAACGCGGGAGTCCGCCGTCAGTGGTTAAGAGAGATTTCAGTTGGGAGTTCATGAAGCCCAACTATCGCCATCTAAACCCGAATCATGCCCACCAGACTGGGGCCCATGTAAGGATCCTGGGATCACTGGTGGCGAAGACATGGGTGATTGTCCGGTTTTATAACAGAAGTTGTACATTTCCGGATTGGGAAGTTCCCTGGAAGAACAAGAACAAGAAGAAAACAAAGGAGCAGTAATAAAACCGCCCACTCCAGTACCATCTACTTCAAGATTATCCACATTTCGACTCATTGAACTATCTCGCAACTTAACGGGAAAGCTCCTAAGACTACAGGTGTAGGACAATTCTATTCGAAATATTATGTCATAGTCTGAGAAGATAAAAAAAAAATACTTAAAGGAGGAATCAATTGTAGTTTTAGACATCTCTGGCTATATTTTGGTTAGGTTCGCAGTAAACTTGTTTAAGGAGCACAGACTTACCAAACCTTCCTGGAAGAAATCCTGGAAAACCTATTTCATTGTAAGGCTGTGTTTCCCAGTTCGTAGGTAAAGGCCCGAACCTTACTGCAATCATGGCTTTCACAAATTACAGCAGTCTGAATCGAGCTCAGCTAACCTTTGAATATCTGCACACAAATTTGTAAGTATCCTGTAGGTGCCACAATCGTCACCCATAACTCATTTCTTAATATTAGTATGGAAAGCCTCCTCCCAGGAAATTTCGCTTTTTTACTTTTGGGGATGAGCCTTGAGCTCTGTATGGAAGAACAGAGATCAGTGAAACATTTCTTGCTAATCCAGAAGAATATGACCATTTATTGGATCAAAACTTACTTGTTCAAATGCAAACTAGTTATTTGAGGTCACTATATCGAGTTGTTTCTGAAGTGTTTGGTAGGAATCCAAGTACTGTTCTTTGGATCACCAAACGTTGGACTATTCTAGCATATTCGCTTTAGTGACAACAGCAAAAACTGTTGGGCTATAACAAGTTTATTTTCTTTCTAACAAGGGGGGAAAAAAGAAGACATTCAAGTGACAGCTTGTGAGAAGAAAGTATTAATTTTTTTCCTCCAGCAAACAGTTGGCTTTATATTCCTTGGGAAATTCGTCCCCACATCCGACATTGTTTTCATATGCTAAGCAGGAAATAGCAACTTGTTTAAACCCATGATTTAAATAGCCACTCTCCAAAATGTGTGCAAATCTCAGAACACATGGTGTTCGATGTTCTTGGGTTCATGAAGAGATTACCATCACTACAAATTGGTCTGGAATGTTTCAGGGTTAATCCTATGTTCACTCTCTTGGAAGTGATTCATTAGGCTCATAACTACTTTGTGTTTTAATATGGTAATTTGTCACTTTTGAGATAAAGGTAAGTATTCTAACATTTTAGTATGTGGAGAGGTGATGAGCAGCTAAATGATGGCCCAGAGATCTGAAGAATCACCTTCAAGGCTGAGAATATAGACTTCAGTTATCCATTAATAGTATAATTTTATCCTTTTATGGAAAAGGACTTAGAAACAAAACCAAAACCCTAAATTCCAGAGTCGTCTTTGTGATCATGTCTGTAATTTTTTTGATTGCTATTTTTCCTATCAAAATTTTTCTAAGTGGAGTGAATTGTCAAACTATGAGAACTTGGTTTTGTTTTATTTAGGAAGCTTATTGAACTAAAGTGTTTTAGAATAGGTACTGTAAAGGTTACCTACGTGAATTCTTATGGTTGGTGAACTTGAAATCCAGTTAGGTAAGGTTGCTGACTAGTTTATAACATAGCCTTGCTATCCTTTATGTTTGAACTGTCACATTCGGAACCAGCAGTTGAAGGCCACTAGATGTTCACAGATGATCAGGCTTTGCAATGAGGGGCCAAATTTGGAATAGCAGACTGTTTGATAATCTTGGAAGAACATGAATGGGACTTCTAAACTGGGTTCTTGTTCCTGCTTCCCCAGACTTTATTTGATTATAAAATAATATTAATAATAAGTAATTGCTTCATGCCACTACTATTTTAAACATGGCTGAAAGTAATCTTTATAGCAACACTGCTGGGATTATTCCTATTTTGCATCTGAGGAAACAGGTTAAGTTTCATGCCAAAGGTTACACAGCTGCTAAGTGGCAGATTTTAGGCACTAAGATTTCTCTGGCAACAGTGGTTAGTGCTTTTAACCATTAGGCAATACTGGCTCTAGTCAGTTTTACCATTTTTATAAAAAAATATATTTTTATTGATTTCAGAGAGGAAAGGAGAGGGAGAGAGAGAGAAACATCAATGTGAGAGAATCATTGATTGGCTGCCTCCTGCATGCCTCCCACTTGGGACTGAGTCCACAACCCAGGCATGTGCCCTTGACCAGAGTCAAACCCGGACCCTTCCCTCCGCAGGCCAACGCTCTATCCACTGAGCCAAACTGGCTAGGGCCAATTTTACCTTTAAGGTCTTCTTTCCTTGTCTATATAGGAAAGGGTTTACTTCTCACTTTAAAAGTCTTCAATTTTATCTCAGCCTCTAATTTGGAGGATCTGGGATATTTGTCTCTGCTTATTTGTTTTGCTATATTATAACTTAATAACAATAGGTGGACAGAGCCAAAGCAAAGAATTGAACCTCAGTTAAATCACCAAAGCGATATTGGAGAATTTTCTGTGAATTTGATTTACCAACGTTGAACTGGAACCACCTGCTTGCATGGACATTTGAGGTTGGATGTATCATTTTGGAAGCTCTGGGATATCTGGATTACATTGAATTTGTCTACTTTTGAATATGTCCACTTGTGCCAGAAGAAAATATGAACCTAGAAAAACAAGATAAGATTCTGGTTTGTAACTAATTTAAAGAGATTTCTTTAATGTGGTGACCTGACTGGAAGTTCACTTCTAGAGGAAACAAAATTTTAAAGTAAAAAATTTTGTATTGTTTTACAGAGAGAGAAACAGAGACACAGATATCGATTTGTTCCACTTATTTTATACATTCATTGGTTGCTGCTTGTATATGGTCTGACCAGGGATAGAACCCACAACGTTGGCATATTGGGACAACGCTTCTAACTAACTGAAATACCCGGCCAGAGCCATAAATTTTCTTAAGCTGTGACTTGATATTTTTTTTTAAATATGTATTTATTGATTTCTGAATGGATCTAACTAACTGAAATACCCGGCCAGAGCCATAAATTTCCTTAAGCTGTGACTTGATTTTTTTTTTTAAATATGTATTTATTGATTTCTGAGTGGAAGGGAAAGAGAGATAGAAACATCAGTGATGAGAGAGAATCATTGATTGGCTGTCTCCTGCACACCCCACACTGGGAATTGAGCCCTCAACCCGGGCATGTGTCCTAACCGTGACCTCCTGGTTCATAGGCCGATACTCAACCACTGAGTCAAACTGGCCGGCCTTGATACTCTTAATGGTAGATGTATCTCCTCTGTGTTAAGTGGTGCAGTGTCACCTTCAGATAAAGCGAAATTTGTTCTACCACATCGTTGTCTTTGTTTTGTTATAATGTTACAAAGATCTTTTTAGGTTGCCTGACATCTACATCTACAATACAGTGGGGCCTTGACTTACGAGTTTAAGTAGTTCCAAGACCGAGCTCGTTAAGGAGCTCGTTAACTCAAATTACTCTATCAACTCAATGCAAAAAATCGGCAGAGAGACAGCTGGTACCTCAAAAAACTCGTTAGTCGGAACACTAGTAAGTCAAGGCCCCACTGTATAGCCATATTGTGAATTATGAAATGGCCCTTTCCTTACCTCCTATTTAATGTAGATTTGCAAGCAGAACCCCAACTAGAAGGATGGAAAATCATTGTGATGCAGTGGAAAGATCATGGGCTTGAGAGCCTGCCAAGCTTGGATTTGATTGCTTCTTGGCTATGTCCTTGGGCAGAGGTCAAATTCTCTGAGTCTTCATCTGTAAAATGGGGCTAGTTTGACAATGTTTTTGAGTATTATGTAAAGTAATGGTTATAAAATAATTAGTTCATACATGATACATGGTAAACATTGAATGGGTGATTATTATTTTACTTATAGTAGCTTATATAACGCCAAAGTTGGTAAGTATGGTAGCAATTTGCTGTTTGGTGCTAGTCATTATGCAGTTAAGTTTTTAGTAAATTCTGGACCATCTGTTAAAGATAGTAAGCATCTGTCTTGATTTTTAATTTTTTTTTTAGATCTACGGTAACTACTGGTGGTTATTCTCTTGGTTACATTAGCATGAAGGTTTAAGCAGGCATGGAAAATTCTTAGGATACGTGAAAGTCAGGATAATTTGTTTTAATACTGGATATTGCTAGTATCAGATGATAAAAGTTAGGGTTTTTAGATTAAAGGAGTTTCATGCTGTTACTGCTCTTGTTGGTGGTGGCTTTGTGACTGATAGTAAAAAGTTCATGAGCAATCTAGGTGTACTGGTCGTAGTAATGTTCCTTTGGCATAAGATGCATAGCTTAAGTCACTCTGCAGTACTGCTAAGTGGTCTGATAGAGCAGAATGTATAAGATGCCTGCTTTCTATGTTCCTGTTGGCACATTTTATAACTTTTTATATTGGCTATATGATATTTTTGGGTTGTTCTATCTATATTGGAAGTGAATATAGAGTAAACTGTCAATTCTAGAGACAATATTTCTTATGATTTATAATTCTGTAAAATGTAGAGTTCTTACTCTAAATATATTAAAGCAATATGAATGTAAAATGGTTGCTCTAGAATTTCTCTAGATTATTTTCTTTCGATTAGGGCAATTAACTATTGTCAACATATCCAAGTATTTATATAGTTTAAATGCAGGATGAATATGAATAGGGAGAACATTTTCTTACATAATGAGTAGATTTTCCTATGAATTTGTCACTGGAAATGCTGAGCTGCAGAACAATTTCCTTCACAGCACAAATGGTATAAAAGCCTTGATCAGTTGAAAGTGAGAGCTTGTTAAAAATCTTTCTTTTTCTAGATGGTTGATTTTTCTTGAATCATATGTAAGGAATTGTTAGGTCTGTGAAGAAAAGAATTTCCTTTGATAGTTACTCAAATATCTCTATCTCAGATACTAACTAGAAACTAGTGTATCTCTTTGAATATTATTTGAAAAAAGGAGAACTTGTGCAGTTGGTATGTTTTTGGTGCTTACCATTTTAAGAGATATTTTGAACTCTGGCTTTAGTATTTGATAGTAGGATCCATCATTAATCAATTGGAAGGCTGGAGAAAATGGAAGTGTTGTCTCTGAATTTATCAACAACTAGAGGCTCGCTGCATGAAATTCATGCAAGGGGCTTGGCCCTCGCAGCCCCGGCTTCGTCCAGAAGGTTGTCCAGAAGGTTGTTTGGCTCTCCGGTCTAATTAACATATTATGCTTTTATTATAGATTGTCACAAAAGGCACCTTTTTTGATGTATCAGTACACATCACAAAAGTATTCCTTAGTTACATTTTAAAGATACTTGTTAACTTACCTGAAATATGGAAGTGTGGAACAGCATTGATAAGTGTGGAACAGCATTGATAAGTGTGGAACAAGGAAGACCATTTGGAATGATTTTTAAAAATTCTAAATGTACATGGCACATTTCTAAACAATATAAAGAAAACAGTGAAAACAGCCAGAGACAGTTTGTGCTTGCTCTTTTGAGATCTTACTATTGAATTCTAAACCTCTCTCATTTTCATGTGAAGTGATCAGAAATATGTATTGCTGCCCTAGCCTGTCTGGCTCAGTGGATAGAGCGTTGGACTGTGGACTGAAGGGTCCCGGGTTGGATTTCTGTCAAGGGCATATTTCCCAGGTTGCAGGCTCGATCCCCAGTGTGGGGTGTGCAGGAGGCAGCTGATCAATGATTCTCATCATTGATGTTTCTATTATATCTCTCTTGGCCTCTAGTATATTTATATGTTCATTACAGTATTATTTACAATAGCCAAGATGTAGAAGCAACCTGCCCTAACCGGTTTGGCTCAGTGGATAGAGCGTCGGCCTGCGGACTCAAGGGTCCCAGGTTCGATTCCGGTCAAGGGCATGTACCTTGGTTGCGGGCACATCCCTACTGGGGGGCTGTGCAGGAGGCAGCTGATCGATCTCTCTCATCGATGTTTCTAACTCTCTATCCCTCTCCCTTCTTCTCTGTAAAAATTTAATAAAATATATTTTTTAAAAAAAAGAAATATGTATTGCTGAGAAGGCAAAAGGGTATTAGAATAAGTTTTCCAGACTATTCATAGTCAACATTTTCCCTAAAAGACCAGATACTTCATTCTTTAACTTAGAGTACAGAACACTAATTCACTTTGTAAATTCTAAGTTAGGAAAATGACTGGTTGAAAGCTTAAGAGCAAATGTTAGGTTTATTTTTAACTTACGTTACCTTCAACAAATCACTTTAATTTTCTAGCTTATTACTTTTTATCTCTCTTTTTTTAGTGGAGTAATATACAGAATACTTTAAAAAAAAATTCAATTGGTAATTTGAAGAATTTAGCCCAACTGGTGTGGGTCAGTTGGTTGAGCATAATCCCATGTGCCAGGAATGTCACCAGTTCGATTCCCAGTCAGGGCACATGCCCAGGTTGGGGGCTCGATCCTCAGTATGGGGTGTGCAGGAGACAGCTGATTGATGTTTCTCTCATCGATGTTTCTATCTCTCCCTCTTCCTTCCTTTCTCTGAAATCAATGAAAACATTAAAAAAGAGAGATAATTTGAAGAATTTAATATGATTTTAAAGACTTAAGAATTTTTAATAATTAAAGGTATGGATGTTTTAATACATGTTTTTCTCTTAGAAAATGTTTTTTTTTATGTAAAATAATTACGAATTGGGTTTTAGAACAATTTGAGCCCTACTTTCTACTTGAATTGGAGATAAATTTTCTACTTTTTGTTAAAACTTATTTACTGCTGTCACTTTTGGATTAGCAGCATATATTCACTGATCTCATGGGGGAAAGTTCTTCCTAAAATTCTCAGAACTGGTACTTTTAATTCAAAATTTGCATTTGTAAAAATTTGAATATTTACCTGAGGAGGAAAAAAATCAGTGTTTTTAGCAGTTCAGTTTTGGGTATTTATTTTATAAACATTTTAAAATTTGTTTAAACAATATAGTTAGTGATCAGAGATCCTAGATGCTGGTTATTTAATAATGGTTTATTTCATTCTGAAATATTTGAAAATTTTAGTATATCTACTGGCTGAAATTTTGTATACAAAAAAAAATTAGCTGGGATAATTTGGTTATTTTTGAAAAAAGAAGTCAAAGTTTCTAGGTGGTTCTGAGTGGACATGTCCTACTTTTATATCTAATATCTAATGAATACTATTATGGGAAGTTATAGAGAGTGTATTTGGAGGAATAAGTTTAAGGATAAATCTTATCTTTTTTTTCCATAAATATAATCTCTATTCAGTTTTGGGAGGAATAAGTTTAAGGATAAATCTTATCTTTTTTTTTTTCCATAAATATAATCTCTATTCAGTTTCAAATAACATGGTAATTGTATACTTACCAGCCCAAACTTTGAGCAGCCTCCAAGGAGTAGACCGTAAACTTCTCTCCTCTGAAGGGGTTAACTTTAATAAGGGCCCTAAGAGACCATACCATGCTTTTGTCCTAGAAGGAATTGTCCTAGAGGGTCTTGCATTCCTTTAATGTGTAGAAAGTTCTGTTTTTTTTTTTTAGCCAGAGTAAGAGAAAGGAAGTGGATTTTTCTCTTCTTTCTCCTCCACTTTCAAATGGAATATTTGTGCTCATAAATTGCACAACAGGATTTTTCTCTTCTTTCTCCTCCACTTTCAAATGGAAATTGCACAACGTTGAATGGATTTTCTTCTTTCACTAGTAGATCATACACAAGTATTAGTAAAGCAAAATGCTAACAAGATATCCATTGAGCATGCTTAGAGATATGTAGAAACAGCTGGTTAAAGCAATGAAAAATAAATTACATGTATTTTTCTAGGCGGAATATGAGTAGTAAAAACACTGCTTTTAGCAATAGTATACATAGGAATATTTTAATGCTTTGGGGTGGGTTTCTCAACATAGTAAGAATAAACATTTCTGTGTAGATATCAGGACTTGATTAATACTTGAAGGAGATTAGGGAGATAATGATGAAGTTTAAATTTCAGGAGTGTAAATTGACAATGCTCATCGTGATTTTAGATTGTTTCCTACAAACTTAGTATTTTATAACCTTGATTTTTTTCCATAATTCTTTTGCTGATTCTGTTTATCATTTTAGAACTACTCATGAATTCTTGTTCGGTGCTCTTGCTGAACTGGTTGATAATGCAAGGTACGTAGTCTTCTGCAGGCATGTAGTATGTGCTTGAAAACATTTGGGCCATTGTGACCTTTGCTCTCTGAAGACATGGGAGGAAGGCAATTCTGTAACAGCCATGACTCACTCCTAAGAGGCTTGCTACCCAAAAGAGTATTTTTAATTGCACATTAGTTGATAACTCCACTTTATTTGATTAACTTTAATCCATTCATTCCTCGGTGTTCTAGCATAAAAATAATGAACTTCTAACCTCCAAAGCTACCTTCCCATGTGTGTTAGAGCAAGATAATTGTAGTGAAACACAGGGAATTAAGATTGAAATTTAGGAATCAAATTAATGAGACAGACAAGCTTTGATTTAATTGGTGCTATCAGGAGAGTACACTATCTAATGTCTTTAAAATTATTCCAGAGTTTTGTGTCTTCCCAAAGTGTTTATTTTATTGTCAGATGACTCCAGTTGATCAAAGCATCTTTCAATTGTGAGCAGCTGTGCTTGGAAGAAATTATTCTTTAGCACTGTGTTATATGGACTTCTTAGTGATGAAAGCCTATCAATGTTACTGTATAAGACTGAAAAGTTTTAAGTTGGTTCAAAGATAAACAAATAAAAATGCAAAACAGCATTCTGTTTCTATTATGAATATATTGTTTCAGTCTTGTTTCTGAATGCAAACATAAAATTCAGACATTGTTTATTGACTAGGTGTTGATAACTAACAAAGGAAGAAGAGGATAAGAGTTAATAGTAGAAGTACTAGTACTTTTAAACAGATCCCCAGTTAATGAGCTTGCTGATAATCTTCTATGTCTACCTATGTCTATACTATAAACCTATACTATTATTACTTTCATTGTTATTTTCCACCGGACTATTCATAGAAGTGTGCCAGCTAACAAGTTATTTTACAAAAAAAAGCAAAAAACACCAAACTCCTATTTTGTTTCAATCCTGGTTGACTCATAATTTTTGTTCTTTTTAAAAATATTGTAATCGCTTCTTGGCCTTTGGCTAAGAAAAAGTGTAATATCTGTTCTTATCAGTTTAAAAATATTGTAGCTTAATGGAACTATGCTTGAATTTACCACTTGTTAGCTTAGTGAGTCCATGGTGTGTTGTGGCTAACTTTTTTTATATATCGGTGAACTGGAGATTCTTGGGATTATGTGTTCTTGCTTATACATTTTGCCAGTTTCTCTTATATTTGAAAATGTTTTTATGTATTTGGGAATAGGTACATGTGGAGTTACATGGTTTTGAGTTGAATTTTTGCATTTAAAATCAATGAGACTGCATGATTTCCTTGCTTGCAGTTGCCAAATTGGGCTAGATTACTTCCAAACCTTTATGGAAGCCTTCATTGATGACTGAACTTGCATATCAGCTGATGGATAGAATATAGTGGGTACCTCAACTTCCTTTACTGTTAGGGAGGATAAGGCTATGGGCTTGTGAATCAGTCTGCTGCCTGTAGTATGTATACCATAGGACTTGGTTTTTTTCATAGGCCTTACAGCAGCTTATTTTCTTTTTTTCTCAATGTCTTGGTGAGAAGGGGAAATGCACAAGTTATTGGCACATTTTTATTTTTAGTTTTTAGAGATTTTAGAGAGGGAGGGAGAAGGAAAGAGAGAGAAACATTGATGTGAGAGAGAAACATCGATTGGTTGCCTCCCACATGCACCTCAACTTGGGATCGAACCCGAAACCTGGGCATGTGCCATGACCAGGAATTTAACCGGTGACCTTTTTGGTGCACAGGACCATGCTCAACCAACAGCCACACCAGACAAGGCTGGAACGTTGTTGTTGTTGTTAATCGTCACCCGAGGACATTTTCCCATTGATTTTTTTTTAAAGTTTTATTTTATTGTTTAAAGTATTGCATATAGTATTACATATGTCTCCTTTTCCCCTTGTTGACCTCCCCTCAGCCAACCTTCCTCCCCCGTTGATTTTTAGAGAGAGTTGGGAGGGAGAGGGAGAAACACAGAGAGAAACATCGATGTGAGAGAGGCACACATCAATTGGTTGCCTCCTGCATACTGGGGCTGGGGATCAAGACTGAAACTGAGGTACATGCCCTTGACAGGAATCGAACCTGTGACCCTTCAGTGTTCGGGCTGACACCCTGTGGACTGAGCCAAACCGGCTAGGGCTGGAACATTTTTTATGATTGTAATTGATTGAGAGAAACACGGATTTGTGTCAGTTCTTAGTATCTAAAGGGGAATGTTTTTACTTCTAGATGTTTTCACTATGAAATTTGTATTTAAAAATATATATCCAGGCTCTGTCATGTGATTATTTAAAATAATTTGGAGCTGCTCTAGGTGTTTTACAGTCAAAAAAGGAAAATAGTGTTATCAGGTATAAAAAGTATAGCTTTAATGTATGTAGAATGACTGTATGAATTCCTGAAAATAGATTCAAAATAGTACCCATTTCATAATACTGTGCATAGGTGGCATTTCAGATTCTCACTTGGATCTTGATTTTTTTTCCCTTTTAATTTTGCAGAGATGCTGATGCCACCAGAATGGATATATATGCAGGTGAGACACACATCAGTCTTTTCTTCTAATGCCCAGTTCCTTTTAAATCACTTATTGCTATGCCTAAGAAGAAATGAGTGTGAAATAACTGATTTCTGGAGCCCGAGGATATGGCACAATTACTCTAGGTCTTAGGTAGAAACAGGGCACCCTGGTTAGGCATGTAATAGAAACCAAGAATTAGTTTACACCAAGAAACTAACACAGGGTGACCAGATCTAGATCTATTCAAAAAGCCACCAGGAGGTTTATAGGGCCGATGGAACAGGGTAGTGGGGAGTGTAATAACAACCACTAGTGGTTTTATTGGTTGGAGTTAGCAGGTGACCAGGTTTATAGCATCTGCAGCCAGAGAGAGATCTGGTTGGAGGCCAGTTTCTCCTTCCACCATGGCGAAGACCAGTCCCAGCTTTTATGTCAGTTGCATAAAACAGTTGGGTAACTGGGTTGGCACTGAGGTTTGCAGAGGAGATGTTTTCAAGCAAAGGTGTCAGGTAGGAAGGAAGGCTGTTTTGCTTGGAATTTAAAGATACTGAAGCATGTACTGCTTTGCTTATTTAATTGGCTCTGTTGTTTGGCAGTAAGAGCTCCCCCTCCCTTTTTTTTTTCCTAGAGGGAGTGCAACAGTGGAAGAATTTTTAGTCATTATCATTGGCCCTTTTTTTTTTTTTTTAAATAGTTTGCTTTCTGCCTGTTTAATGTTTGTGCTAGCACTTCTTTTGGATCATTTGAATGCTAACAATCTGAAAGCAGAATAGAGGAAGACAGCTTTTAAATCCAAATTTGGATAGCATGATCTGTTTTTCTGAAGTCTTCTGAAAAGTTTGAGGTAATATTTTGAATAAAATTGACTAGCTTCTCAGAATGGATCACCGATGGATCACCTGGGAGCATGCTAGAAATGCAGATTCTCAGGTACCACTTCAGACCCACACAATTAGACACTCTAGGGTGGAGCCCAGAATCTTTATTTTCACAAGTTCTTCAGTGATTTGTATGCACACTACATTTTGCTCTAGCTGATACTTTTCGTAGTCTCCTGCTTACCTGATCGGCTACAGAGAATAGAGTCCATTGGACTATAAGCTTCATGGAGGCAGTGATCACATCTGCATTGTTCACTGCAGTTATCTTCATCACAGAGTCAGGCACAAAGGAAATGCTCAGTAAATATTCATCGAATAAACAAGCGATTGGGATAAGCATTGTAGCTAGGTAAAGATGCCACACTGCCTGCTTACAGGGTTGAAGAGGTTACTGCTGTGTTGGCTCGTCTCCCTTGGCCCTGAAGTAGTGTTGCACATGACCGTGGTTCTGGACACTCTTAGCTGCTTACACAGTGTCGGTCACTGTGTGGCCAGGAGGATCCTCCACATGTGGGTTTCTTACCCTCATAAATCAAATGAAAAATCTTTGAAATGAAGTCCTTGAGCCAGAAAGGGATCTCAGACCCACTGTTAAGGGTTGATTGTGTGTTAAAACAGCCTGCAAGTCCTGTTATAAGAAACACAAGGGCCTAAAAGTAACTTCCTAGGTAGCATTCAAGAAATGCCACCAGTGATCTTTGGGGACTTTTGGAATGCACTTGGCTCCAGCCAGGTTCTAGGTCCCAAAGCAGTCTTCATGTACAGCTCATGGCTGAAGTGCACATTGTTACCATGGTCTGTACCTGGCCCGTTCGCGTCTTCATGACACTTTGCTCCTTGGAATAAATTTGGAAGCCTTTTTGCACGTTACTTGCACTTGCTCCTGCTTGCTAGGTCTCATTTGGATTCTCTAGAGACCTTGATGAGAGGCTCTGCCACGAGGAGAAATTTTCTTATCTACCAATAGTACTTCCAGGAAGGTCCTTGCTCTTGAACTTTCAAGGAGCACTTGTTATTAATGTTTCAGCAAAGTTTAGCTTCCTGAACACTGAGTGATACTTGAAAATCTGTGGTTTATAGTACTTCTGAAATAGCATTTTAAATTGCACTAACTAGTCCATTTAATGGAAGGCGGTCATGACTCACTTGAATCTTTAGCCTGAGGGGAGGACACGCATTTTAAACAGATTCCTCAGCTTAGATAATTTTATGAAGTTGGTGAACTGCAGCTTAGGGGAGAAAAAGATGTATTCACTTAGGAACTAAGCTCAGAGCAGCGCTGGGCTTGTTCCTGTGGTGCCTTACATAGACCTTCCTTTTAGTAGAAGTTCTCTCCTGATTCCAGTGCCTGAGCTGGTCCTCCTTTGCCCACCTCGTCCGCACTGGGTCAGAAGGCAAACTCTTGGGAACTCTAGGATGGGCCCTTTCCCTATTTGGGGATTCCTTCTCCAGTGTTGACTAGTATCACATGACCCAGACTCGGAGTAACCACGTGCCACTGCAGAAGACAGCTCCTGAAAGAAGAGCGTCTTCCACTCACTGGAATGGCAGCCATAGCCTGTTGCATTCCCTTCCTGTTAGCCGAGAGGCCCTCCCATGGCTGCTCTGTCATTTACCCTCAAAGGACTCTTCCTCCTTGCAGTCAGGCCTATCCAGCTGGGAACCAGGCACTTTCGCGGCACCTGTACTATTTCGCTCTTGGGTTGAGGAGTCATTTCAAGGACCCACAGCAAACAGAGGATGCGATGGTGAATACAGATAGCCCAGAAACTGGAGTTAGCCTGGGGATAGTCGCATAGAGACGTAGGAATTCATCTTCTAGATAGCAGTTGCCACCACTATACCCACAGCATGACTGGCTTGATCACTTTGAACTTAACCCACAAAGGATGTGCCATGTTGGGTTTGAGCAGTGTTGATAAGGTTTAGCATGCAGTAGTGGGAGTGCTTCAGTGTCTTGAGGTTCACAGCAGAAGGTAGCATGGAAATAACCCAGATGGAGACAGGCAGAGGGATGATTGAGGTATGTGTGAAATACATGTGTAGTCAGTGGTCCTGGGTTTGGTTGGATACTGGGCCAGGTATTCTGTGTCCTCCATATCGAGTCTCTCAAGCTTTGTCATGAACTAGAAGGAATTGGGGAAGCTTTGGGATTTCCACTCCCAAGGGCCCTAACTTATACTGGCTAGGTCTGTTACAAGGAGAAGCTAGGTTTGACCTGACCTTTTTGGACTAACCTTCACACTGATCCCCCTTCTTACCCTACCCATGCTGCCGCTCTCTGGAGGGTAATCACCCAGTAATGACGGCCTCTTCTTTTACAGAAAGGCGAGAGGATCTTCGAGGGGGATTTATGCTTTGCTTTTTGGATGATGGAGCAGGAATGGATCCAAGTAAGTAACCATTTTTATAAATACCGGCTGTGTTAACTTGTTTTTTTGTGGCCTCATTTTTGTGACTCAAAGATCCAGCAGGAGAGAGAGGAGTGTGTTGCAACATCTCAGGCATAATTCCACATGTGGATTTGCTGGGTCTTGTCCCAGCATGGGAGATAGCATCAGAATGGCAGCCTGAAGTCAGTCAGATTACCTGTCTCTTGACATTATATTTATCAGCTTGCACAATATCCCAGAGCTGAAACTACAGGACACACACACACACCTTATTACCATGTTTGGGTAACAAAATAAGGTCATAGTGATGGCTAAACTGAAACTGACAGGCCAGTTAGGTGTTGTGTCCAATTGCCTCATGGTTGTGAATGTCCTTGGACAGAGGTTTTCAGTAGACACACAGCCCTACTTGGGGTTAGCAAGGCTCAAACCTTTGATTTTTGAGGAGCCTGGAAAAGAAATGCAGACTTTTCACTTATGCTTGCCATTTCAGATGATGCTGCCAGTGTGATCCAGTTTGGGAAGTCAGCCAAACGAACGCCTGAGTCCACCCAGATTGGGCAGTATGGGAATGGGTTAAAATCGTAAGTATCCTGGAGGCCTGTCACAGGACTCAAAACAAAATCAAGCAGTGCTCTCCTGCTTCTGTCTCATGAGTGCTTTCTTGTCTCCATCACTGTAACTCTGTAACAGAAGGAAAGTCAGAAAGGAGTGGATTGGGGACTTACTGTTGCTCAGCCTTGTGTACTTTACAGAACAAAAGTATGGATGCCCAAAACCAGTTGCGGGAGAAGCTGTAGGTTTCTCTTGGCACTGTGCCCTGTACTGCACCTCTCTTCCTGTTGAAAATGTCTTACCCTGTAGTTGAGGTGTGGCGTGATAGTTTTGTGGGATTGGGATATATCTGAGACAGGGAGGAAGTTGCTTCATGGCGCAGCAGTGTTCCCTGAGCACCTGCCATATGTCATGCTTTGTGCTAGGCATTGGGGATCCAGGGTGAGTCAGAGAGACCCAAATCTCCATCCTAAAGGGCATGGTCTCCACTTGCATGCCCCGCTAGGTCCTGTGGCCGGGACCTACCTAATGTCTTCAGATCCCTTGGGACTCCTTTCTCAGACCTTGGTTCCCACTTGTTTGGTGTTTGGAATGTGTTCTGGCTTTGAGTGAAGCCCCAAGAGAAAGGTTTCTATTTCTGAAATGCTCACTCCCAGCTGTACGTACCCTTGGATCGAATAAGACGCAGTGGAATTGGAGTTTGTACAAATGGAATTCTGTGTCATGTTTTCAGTCCTGCTGTGGCGACGTGTTTTCTTTGAGAGAGAGTGGTGATTTGGCCAGTCAACAGCATTAATTGTCCCTCACATGCAGTGTGCTTTGGGTGTGTGGGCAAGAACGAAAGTGCTTCCAAAGACATGCTACCTGGACTTGTGATTTGTCTCTTAGGACAGGAACCAAATGGTATCCACAGGCACTTACCATGTGCCAGGCACTGTGCTAAAAGCTTAACTGATCTTGTTCAATCCTCCCTATAGTCCTGTGAGGTGTCGGTTCTGTTATGCTCATTTTCAGATGCGGAAATTGAGGTTTATAGGGGTAAAATGATTTGCCCCAAAATATAAAGGTGCCCAAGTGTAGAGCAAAGATCTAAACCAGAATTTCTGACTGCAAATTGTGCCTGTTTCACTTAAGTCAGACAAACTAAAATAAAATCCAAATCTTACCTCACTTAATTAGTTATTTGAGCCTCAGCTTCCTCCTTTATAAATTGGGATGATATCATACATACCAGTGTGATGGTAATGAAACCCTGACTTGCCCCCTGGATTGTAGGCCAGGTTTCTCCTACCTGTTTTATCAGTTCCCTGGCCTCAGATAAACATTTCATCTCTCTGAATATCTATTTCCTAATCTAGCATATAGGATTCTAATCTCTGACATTCTCCCTTATGGAGCAAGTTTTAGGAGCAAATGAAATATGACTCTAAAAGTGCTTAGAAGACCGGAAAGGAGAGAGTACAGAAGTTGAGGGTGATGTCGTTAGCATATTTTTAGTAGAACAATTGTAAAGGACCCATTGAGATGGAGCCATCTAGTGTTCAGAGTGAATTCATTTTGATACTAATTCAGAAGTTGAAAAGGTTTTCGGAGGAAGTGATTTGTGGTGAGAATGGGGCTGAGAAGCAGGGAGCCGAGAGAAGTGGCATTTGGGGATTGTTGCTATCCGGTTCAAAGACTGCGGAAGAACGTGGCACAAATTGGGAGTTTTTGCCAATTTAGGGCAAGAGTAAGTTCTGGCAGAAGGCAAGGTACTGTGCCTCATTTTGCCACCCAGAAGCTTTAGGGAAGGAGGACTGTGAAATTGCCGGGGAAGGAGCATTGCCAGAACTTCGGGAACTGGAAGAGGAGAAACAGAAGTTGGCAGCCCCCAGGGTGTCTCTGGATAGTGTCCTGGGAGTTGTCCGGAGCATTTAGGATAATGGGACATGGCATTCATTTGTGTGTTTGGCATACCAGTCTGGTTTGTATTTGTACATAGATGAGAGTAATAAGGCTCCTTATTGCCATCGCCTCCCTCGGGCATGACGAGGACTAATGAGATAATAGCCATCAAGTCCCAGAAGCTGCTCAGAGGAAAGGAACTAAATAGCCCCATTGTTGAGTGGGGAGTCCTCCCATGGGTGCTCACGCTTCTGCCGGACAACTGTTCCGTGCTGCCTGGGAAGGCCTGTCCTGGCCTGTTCCTCAGCTGGTTTCACATGGCCAGACAGGAAGGAAGCAGTCGATTCCTGGAGGCACATTGCCCAGGAACTAGTTGCATCCAGAAGCAGGGACCTGCCTGTGTCATAATGAGCTGGAGGTGGTCAAACGGTTCTGAGACAGAAGATGGCTGTACTTACAGGACCTGAGTCAATTATAGGCCCCCTCGACAACTGTGATCAAGAATTATATTTTATATGGTTAACCTTGGGATCGTACTGGTTTTTGTTTGTTCTGTTTTTTATTTTTATTTTTTGAGGACTTGTGAGCGTAGGTAGTGGGCTGTTCCCTTGATGGTGCTGCCATTTGGTGAGTAGATGCTAGGGGAGTTTGTGTCAATGAAGGAAGGACAGGATGGGAATTGGTTGTGGTTAGCATGGACGCTGATGTGTTAAAGGTATCAGTTACTGGACTGAAATCTGGAGGGGATAGCAGCCCTTGTGTGGCTGGGATGAACCTGGCACATGGGCAGCAGGGTTACATTGTGGCAACGCCTGGGGGTGAGACTAACTAGAGCTGATGATCAGCGGTGAATGTGCCCTAGAAGGGTGGTGAGAGAGCCCTGCATGGCGGGTAAGTGTGGTCGAGAAGGTTATAATAGAAGAGCAGAGGGAGGAGTGTCAGGTGGGAGGAGTCGGGGCGAGGCCTGTGGAACTCGGCTCAGGGTCCTGAGACCGCAGGAGGCCTGTAGGAGAGCGCTCCAAGGCAGTTCGGTCACGACGGGTAGACTTGCTCCTTTCTCAGATGAGCTCTCGAGTCCCTGGGAGAATAACCCAGTTCTGCTTCCCTTTCAGAGGCTCCATGCGCATCGGGAAGGATTTCATCCTCTTCACCAAGAAGGACGACACCATGACCTGCCTCTTCCTGTCTCGCACCTTTCATGAGGAGGAAGGCATTGATGAAGTAGGTCCCCTCCACTCCACACTTCCTGGGCCTGCCCGGGCTGTTCTCATAGGTCAGTGATGGCGAACCTCGGCGTGTCAGCATTTTGAAAAACCCTAACTTAACTCTGGTGCCGTGTCACATATAGACATTTTTGATATTTGGAACCATAGTAAAACAAAGACTTATATTTTTGATATTTATTTTATATATTTAAATGCCATTTAACAAAGAAAAATCAACCAAAAAAATGAGTTCGCGTGTCACCTCTGACACGCGTGTCAGAGGTTCGCCATCACTGTCATAGGTCATTTGCAATGCTGGGCTCATTGGGGTTGCAGGATTGCAGCCATGCCCCTGTTAATTGGGTTAGCTGGTTGAATGAATTGGTGGAGGGGTGAAGGCAGATATCTTAAGTGAGAGGAAGCAAAACCTCAACGCTTCAGGCCATCGAGTGGCCGGAATCAAGATTTGGATATGCAGCTCCCCTAGATCTGCAGCTTGAATTCAGTCTGGTGGGTGTCAGTATGGAAAGTTGTCTTATCGAGGGGAGGATTTGAGGCTTCCAGGACTGTGGGTGGAAACCACAGCTGCAATAATAATAGGAACAGTACTGTCTTTCCCATATTGTGGTGATTTTGTGGAATGTGCTGTGAGCACATTTTTTCTTCTTCTTTTGTTAATTCTCAGTCGAGGACTCCACCCTCTCCCCCCATTAATTTTTAGAGTGTAAGGGAGGGAGAGAGACAGAGAGAGAAAAACATCAATGTGAGAGAGACACATCGATTGGCTGCCTCCTGCACGTGCCCCGACTGGGGTAGGGGATTGAGCCTGCGACTGAGGCCCTTCAGTCTCCTGGCTGATGCTCTAACCACTGAGAAAACCTGCTAGGGCAGCACATTTTTCTTTTGAGGAAATTGTGTTTGCTCTAACCATCTATGTCAGAAGCTACAAGTCAGATACCGATAGGGCCTCAGTAGGTACTAAAGCTGGTGAGCATGTGGAAAAGATCAGTGTATGTACTTCGCTAAATGGCAGCTGGCGCTCAGCCTCAGCTGATTATTGCTATGCTGGAAGGAAGGCCTACAGAATGTACAGTATTCTGTTTTCAGATGATCTGCAGAGCTGATCTGGTGAGGCCTTTGCCTGCTCATGGGATGGGGGGTGGGGGAGTGGGGGGAGACGTGGATTAGAGAAGGCCTTGGTCTGCTAGCCTTAGACTAGACTCCGATCTCCTTTCATATGTGAGAAATGGAGGCAGAGCTTGCAAGAAGGGGCTGAGAGTACCTGTAGAGAGAAATCTATGGCTGTCACATCAACAGGTAGGTGAATTCAGTTTCAATCTAATTTATTTCTGTTGGTTAACCATGATTAGATTACATTTATACTAGCTCTATTTAGATGTGCGCCTAAATCATCACAGATTCATTCATGTTGGGAATAAAAGGCTATCGTTTTTTACCATCTTTACTTGGTAAGCCAGCGAGTTAAGCTTGCCTTTGTGGTGAGTGTCAGCATACCTGACGTGAGGGGAGCCTGCAGCTGGAAAGCGCGGGCTCCTGGGAAAAGGCAGGCAGGAGAGCTCAGCCCAGGCCGGGGTCTTCAGGAACCGTCTGCTCAGGGCCCTGAGGGCTGGGGGAAGGGGCTTGGCCGGGGGCCCCCTGAAGGGAAGTGGTGGCCTCCACAGAGCACGGAGGCCAGGTCAGGCTTGACCTCAGGGCCGTGGTGAGTGTGTGGGACTTGATTAAAAGCAGCCGTAAAAGGCAGTTAAAGAAGGTGTGGCAGTGTTAGGTTTGGATGTTGGGAATAAAAGGCTATCGTTTTTTACCATCTTTACTTGGTAAGCCAGCGAGTTAAGCTTGCCTTTGTGGTGAGTGTCAGCATACCTGACGTGAGGGGAGCCTGCAGCTGGAAAGCGCGGGCTCCTGGGAAAAGGCAGGCAGGAGAGCTCAGCCCAGGCCGGGGTCTTCAGGAACCGTCTGCTCAGGGCCCTGAGGGCTGGGGGAAGGGGCTTGGCCGGGGGCCCCCTGAAGGGAAGTGGTGGCCTCCACAGAGCACGGAGGGCCAGGTCAGGCTTGACCTCAGGGCCGTGGTGAGTGTGTGGGACTTGATTAAAAGCAGCCGTAAAAGGCAGTTAAAGAAGGTGTGGCAGTGTTAGGTTTGGGGGTTTTTTAAAGATCAGTTTGGTTACCGTGTAGTGATTGGCCTGGGAAGATCGGGGTGTTGGAGTGGGCCAGGTGAAAGACCTGGCTGTGTGTAACCTGAAGGGACTCGGAGCAGGGAGGGAGCGAAATAGGAGCAGTCTTCCTCTCTAGCACGTGGGGCCACAGATGTGGTGTTTGACTGATGGAGGGAGGAAAGGGGAAGGAGGGGTGTGGTTGACTCAGGTTCTGGTTGGCAGTTGGGCCTGGCAGGCTATCTGGAGCCGAGGAAGAACGGCGGAGGGTGCAGCTGGGAGGGGAAGAGTATTTTGTCCTGGACACTCAAGGGTAAGTCTGGGTCTGGAGTCGGGGGAGGCCTGGCTCCCGGATTCTTGGCAGCAGATAAGCTCAACTAAAGGAGCTCGTAGAGTGAGAAGAGGACCTGGGATCTCAAGCACGCGGGCATTTATAGGCTGGGAGGAGAAAGTGCCAGGAGACAGGAGTGGCCAGAGTGGTAGGGGGAACCAGAACAGAGGAGAAGTGTTCGGATGGCAGGGGTGGGAATGAATGAATGCCCACAGTGGAAATAATGCCATTGTCACCTGGGACTGCTGTGAAGAATGGGAGGTGCAGAGTGAGGTACAAACTCACAGAACACAAATGGAGCTCAATTCCCTGGTGAAAAAACTAGGTTGAAATTTTTTCCTTACTTGGTGCTAGAAGGTCACTGTTTTGGATTGTTACTGCAGTGCAAACTCAGCCAAGATTTCAAAATAAACATTTTTGGCTGCATCGGAATGTGTGCAAACCAGTCCTAGGGTTGGATACTCTAGGCAGGAAGCTTCTCAGAAACCAGCAAAATGTCCCAGAACTCTAACAGTTTATCACCCTGGCACTTGTTAAAGTACAGAGCTCTTTTTCCTCACGGTGGGCCATGTGATAGCCACTGTCCTGAGAAGCTGTCTGGGGGTGGGGGTGGGGGGAGGAGAGCACACTGAGGCCTCTGGGGAAGTGGCATTTGAGAGGGTTTTTAAAGAAAGAGTAGGATTTCCCCCCAGCTTTATTGAGGCATAATTGACAAGGGTAGAAATTTCTAAAACATACTTTAGACATAAGATTAAATTCCATACATAAAGAAGAGTGTGTTAAAATGTATGTACAGTTTAGAGAATAAATAAAGCAAACACCCATGCAGCCACCATCATAGCTGATGCTAGAAGTCCCCAGTGCACTTCCACCAATCAGGTTGCCTGTTGGGCCTCTAAGGAACTGCCCTAAGGTGACTTTGTGATGACTATTTCCTTGTTTTTCTTCACAATGTTGTCACTTATGTGTGCGTTCTTGAATAGTTTAGTTTTGTGCATTTATGAGTTTTATATAAATGCACTCATCATAGGTTTTTTTATTTTGCTTCTATCATGTAACATTGTGGGATTCATCTGTGTTGATGGTAGTAGCTGTTCCTTTGTTCATTTCCATCACTGCACAGTATTCCATTGTATAAATATGCTACAGTTTAATCCACTTTGTAGTGGCTGTTTTGCTGTTCTTAGGTGTTGGCTGGTACATATGTACAAAAGTTTCTCTTAGAATATGTACCTGGGAGTGGAATTGCTGAGTTGTAAGTTATGTTTATGTGTAATTTCAGTTTCACTACATAATTGCAAATATACTTTCCTTAGTGGAAAGAGTAGAATTATTACCAAACTAGGAAAATGGCCAGAGACATCTCGAGCAGGGAGCTGCCTTGGCACAGGCCCCCAGGGCATAGCCCAGCGTGCCCCAGGGGACCTAGTGATGTGAGGCTGGATCCTGGGAAGGGGCAGAAGCCACAGAGCCTCTGGTGCCAGGCTGTGGAGCTTGGGCCGCACGTGTGGGGAGGGATAAGATGAATGAACGCACACTTTAGGGGAAATGTCTGCCTGTGCTCACTCATAGGTGATAGTCCCATTGCCCACCTGGAATGCTCGGACCCGGGACCCTCTCACAGACAACTTGGAAAAGTTCTCCATAGAGACAGAGCTCATCTACAAGTATTCTCCCTTCCACAACGAGGAGGAAGTGATGACTCAGTTCATGAAGATTCCTGGGGACAGTGGTAAGTAGGCTTTGAGCCTGCATCACCTAGAATCCTTAGCTCCAGAGCCACGGTGTTGTGGGAATGTGCAGGGGGCGCCTGGCAAAAAGAAGGGATTTCTGTTCCCCAGGAACACTGGTGATCATCTTCAATCTCAAACTCATGGATAACGGAGAACCAGAGCTAGACATAGTCTCAAATCCAAGAGATATCCAGATGGCAGAGACTTCCCCAGAGGGCACGTGAGTATGGCTGGGAAGGGAGGGAAGTCCTGGAACTGGTATCCATTTTCTCTGTTGGGAAAGCTCAGGAAGTGACTTTAGGGAGAGAGGGGAGAGTTCATTCGCTGGATTTCCCAGTGTTAGAGTTCATGAAGCTGGGAACTCCACATCATCTTGCCATAGGCAGAGGGATGAATAGGCCAGCAGGGCCTCAGCTAAGCCAAAGGAAAAGATGATTCCTTGCTCCACCTCCTTGATTTGACAGAAGAAACGGAGGCCCTAGAGAGGGGAGAGGAGTGGCCGGGTCCGTGGTGGGCAGTGGTAGGGCCCGGGCTGGTGTCTGGGTGCCTGTGCTGGGGACGGGAGGGGGCAGGATGTGGTGCCAACACTGAGGGAGCACACTTTCAAGGTGGCAGGAGAAGTAGAGATGCGAGTGGGGAGGTGGGAGCCTGCTGAGAGGCGGTCCTGCTGGACCCTGGGTGGGCTGGTTGTGGGGGGTGACCGCACTGCTTTGTTCCCGTCACCTCCAGGAAGCCGGAGCGGCGCTCCTTCCGTGCCTACGCTGCCGTGCTCTATATCGACCCCCGAATGAGGATCTTCATCCACGGGCACAAGGTGCAGACCAAGAGGCTCTCATGCTGCCTGTATAAGCCCAGGTAGGGACCTGCCCGCCCTGCCACGCTTTCCCAGGACGTTTTGGAGAGATGCTAGGCGACAGGTTCGGACAGTGTTGACTGTGTTGGGGCCTTTAACTGACTGTGGTTTACTGTGGGTCCTGAGGGAGGGATAGAGGTGGCCAAGGGCTGTGGAGATTGGCTGGCAAATCTCATTGAGTGTGAGTACCCTCGGTGACGTGGAGGGTGCCCTGCCTGGCACAGTGAGCTGTTGGAGCCTCTTGGCTTCAGGGCCGAGGGGCCTGTAGACACTACACAGGAGAAAAGCAAAGACCCTGGCTGATTACTGAGGTTTGTTTATGCCGTGGGATTAATAACAACTGGGGAGCACTGAGCTTGCTTATCAAAGTGCATCCGGAGGCAAGCGGCAAGTAGAGTACGGAATTGAGTCTCTTTCTGAAATAAGCTTGGCTCTGGCTCACCATGAGGGGCCAGGACAGTGCAGCTTGGGAGGAAGCAGGAAGTCAGGGCGCTTCCTGAGCTGCTCGGGTTGCCACCCTGCCCCCTACTCCTCGGGCCCTTAGGCTGCCTTTTCCCCATTCAGGATGTACAAGTACACATCAAGCCGCTTCAAGACCCGGGCAGAGCAGGAAGTGAAGAAAGCTGAGCACGTAGCACGGATTGGTAATGTCCCCCTGTGCGGGAGGGGTTAGGTGGGAGTCGCCTGGGACACGGCTTATCGCCAAAGCAAGATCTAGGAAAAAGCTCCATCCCCCACTCTGGGGCAGCTCCTCCTGCAGCCCTGCCCGTGCTGGCCAGTCCTCTCAGCAGTTTTTCTCCGGACACTCTCTTCTTCATCTAAAACACTGTCAACTGCTGGGCTTGCCCAGAGTGAAGAATCCCACAGTGCCCTCTGGCCCAAATATTTGTGAAATTGGTGTTTATGACTCCAGGGCAAAAATCTCAAGGTCTGTCCTGATAACAGGGCTTCCTGGCTCTTCATGGAGAATGATTGGCTGAGGACTCATAGCTTCCAGCTTCTGCTGAGGGTTTAACTTGGGTTGCCTTGGGCAGTTTTTGACCTGTTTTGATTCACTTGGAATGTTTGAAAAGCATGTTTCAGATGTGAGTAGTACCAGTTTCCTTGAGTCGTTGATTTTCTTTTTTGAACTGACTGTGCAGTCCAAGCGGGGCAGTTGCTCACCAGCTCACTTGTTCCTCAACATTGTGTACACACACACACACACACACACACACACCCACACACACACATCACCACCATCCTTGTCCAGTGGGAACTTCACTGTGGGATCCAAGAGTGATTACTGAGAGTTTTAAGCCTTTGAATTCCTTATCATGGTTTCTTCTGTGTTTCAGCTGAAGATAAGGCCCGGGAGGCAGAGAGCAAAGCACGGGCATTAGAACTACGCCTGGGTGGAGACCTCACACGGGACTCCAGGGTAAGGCTCAGCCCCGTGCAGCTGTTCTCTAGCATTTCTGGCCGTAGGACCCCACAGCTGGCCTTGCTCAGCCCAAGACAGCCAAGAACCCCTTGCCTTAAAGCTGAAAAATGGGATGATGTTTGCATAACCTCTATTGAACACACCGTATGGTAAAATCTTGGCTAATCATTTCAACATCCCCAAACCGCATGAGGTATGGACACTTAGTATCCTCAGTTTATGGAAAGAGAAATTGAAATGAAAAACAGCACTTGTCCCAGGTCACACAGCAATCCGGGTCCGAGCAGTTCTCTGATCTCCCAGGCTGACACACACCTCTGTAGACTTTCAGTTGTCAGTAAGCCCGGCGAAGGGAAACACAGCTTTTGAGTTTGTCCCCATTGTCTGTAGAAGATAATAAGTCTCCAGGGGTGGTGTTGCCTCCATGTGATGAGAAGTGGGAAGTTTTAGATGTGTTATCATGCTCCCTGCTGTGGCCGGAGCTCCGCCCCTCACCTGGTGCTGACGCTCGTTCCCAGGTGATGTTGCGGCAGGTGCAGAACACGGCCATCACCATGCGCAGAGAAGCGGATGTCAAGAAGCGGATCAAGGATGCCAAGCAGCGGTGAGTGCCAGGGCTGGCCTTCGACCTTTTAAAATTAGGGAACTTTTGTACTGATTGTTGACAAAGAGCTTGAGGAATCCCTCCCCACCCCGCAAGGTTGCTATTCTGTCACCAGATTGCTTTGAGAAAACCATCAATGTTGTAATCTTAATGCTGGTCAGATGTCCACTGTAGGAGAACAGTTTTTTCCTCGTTCAGTTCTTTTTGAGCTAGAAAAAGGCAGGGCAGTGCCAACAGCTTGAATTGAACACCAAACCTTTCTCACTGGCACCTGTCTGTCTGTGTCTCTCTCCTCCCCTCTTTTTCCCCCCCTTCCCCTCCCTCTCTCTTCTTTTTATCTCCCTTTCCTATTCCCTCTCTTCCTTTCCTTTTTCCCCCCTCTTCATTTAAAGAGTATATAAAATGCTAATTGTATAAAACTTATAATATATAGGACATTAAAAAAATGTTTTAAACGTGCCTATACTTTTACCACCTGGTGCTATCGGAATAACGCTGTAGATTGAGTTTTGGATCTTTTTCATTTTGAATGGGCATTTGTCCTGGCTCAGTAAATTCTCTCTCTGTCCCACCTCTGTGTCTGGAGCCTCTCTGGGCTCTGGGCCTTGAGTTCATTCCTGGCTTGTTCCTTGGCTCCTTGACACAGGCCTAGGTTTCAGGTTTCTTCCTGAGTGAGCCCACTGCTCTTCCATTTGCTTTGCAGCTTCTGTGATACTGTTGACATTTATCACATGATGGTCTCTTCTGTCACATGCCTGTTCATTGTGATTTTTTGCCTTTTCAAAGTTATTACTGTCACATTAGTGGAGTAGGTATGCAGAAAACCTGTGTTTATTCACCATGGAGCAGCAGCTTCACAGTATCCCATTCACACCTAAATACAACTCTGTTTTGTTACCAAAGGCCAAAGTCGTATGCTTTTAGTAAGGGATGCTTAGAGTCACTGCGCAGTGTCGGTCCCTATCAAGTCTAACAGGTTACACATTGAATGAAAACACAGCCCGACCAGCGTGGCTCAGTGGTTGAGCATTGACCCATGAACCAGGAGGTCATGCTTTGAGTCTGGGTCAGGGCACATGCCCGGGTTGTGGGCTCCATCCCCAGTAGGGGGCATGTAGGAGGCAGCTGATTGATGATTCTCTCTCATTGATATTTCTATCTCTCTCTCCCTCTCTCTGAAATCAGTAAAAACATATTTGTCAAAAAGAATGAAAATACAAAGCTTTTTGCTAAACATGTCTCAAGTTTAAGCTTAACACCTCTTAAACACCATGGTGTTTGGGTTGGTCTACTAGAATTTATCTTTCTTCTTCTCAGAGCCCTTAAGGAACCTAAGGAACTGAATTTTATTTTTGGGGTCAACATTGAACACCGGGATCTGGACGGCATGTTCATATACAACTGCAGCCGCCTGATCAAGATGTATGAGAAAGTGGGACCACAGCTGGAAGGGGGCATGTGAGTACTGCCCCAGGGGAGCTTCCAAGGCTGGTGCTGGGGGGGTTTCGGCCAGTGGGGTGACGGGGCTTTGTCTTCTTTCTCCCTGCAGGGCGTGTGGCGGGGTTGTTGGAGTCGTGGATGTGCCCTACCTGGTCCTGGAGCCTACACACAACAAGCAGGACTTTGCTGATGCCAAGGAGTACCGGCACCTGCTGCGGGCGATGGGGGATCACCTGGCGCAGTACTGGAAGGACATCGCCATCGGTAATGCCGCTTCTCTTCACCTCCAGCCGTAGGGTACTGTCACTGCCTGAGGGCGTGAAATTAGGAAGAGGGAGAGGCTGCCTTCTAACAAGATGTGTGGGTGTCTGCCTTCCAGCCCAGCGGGGAATCGTCAAGTTCTGGGATGAATATGGCTACCTCTCTGCCAACTGGAACCATCCCCCATCCAGTGATGTGCGCTACAAACGCCGGAGGTCTATGGAAATCCCCACCACCATCCAGTGTGGTGAGTCGGTGTCAGAACTTCCTCTTGACTCCTTCCCGTCATAGTCCATTACCCTCTGTCCCCATGCTGGCCTGGCCGGACTGACATTCATGGTCTTATAGTCCCACTGGGGATATGAGTCTGTTCAGTGATGGCCTTGGGAGCTAAGTCTTGGGGCTGTGCTGAGGGAGAGGGGCTGAGGGCGTGGAGAGTCCATGATACGAAGTTCCCGTCCTTGCTGGTGTCACTGTCCCTGAGAAGAGTTACTGTTCTGTAAGGAAAGCACAGTTGGAGCCAGAATGAAACTCTGAATGGCAAGTAGGGTCATCTGTGCCTTGGGCCTGGCTTGGGAGGCCCAAGATGCTGACCACAGATACTGTTGGTAGGCGCGGCTGACTTTGGGGTTGCGGGTGTGATTTCTGTGTCACAGATTTGTGTCTGAAGTGGCGGACCCTCCCCTTCCAGCTGCATTCTGTGGAAAAGGAGTATCCTGACACCTGGGTTTGCTCCATGAACCCTGATCCTGAGCAGGACCGGTGAGCACTTTTCTCTAACGCGATTGTGGGTATCTCCATCCTCTCACCATGTTTTTTCCGCTCTTTGGGTAAATAACTCGCTACGCTTCTTGAGATCAGTGCTCACATCTTTACATCTGTCTTGCTGCACGTAGTAAGTGTCCAGAAATAAGAATATATGTGTGTCCTGCAGTGAGTATTAATCCCTTGAACTTGGGAATTCTGAGGTGGTTGCTCTGATGAAAGGCGTGAGTTGGCTGAGGAGGAAGGGCCCTGCCTACGTGGAGCCTGTTTTCCCACGGCCTCCTTAGCACCTTCTCTGTACAGGTGTGAGGCTTCTGAGCAGAAGCAGAAGGTTCCCCTGGGGACATTAAAAAAGGACCTGAAGACACAGGAAGAGAAGCAGAAGCAGCTGACAGAGAAAATTCGCCAACAGCAGGAGAAGCTGGAGGCCCTGCAGGTGCGTGGTCCTGGGCCGAGCAAGGCCGAGTCATGTCTGTCTGGGATGGGACGGGGCCTCTCAGTGGCTCCCCTGTTCCCTCGGGCTCAGTTTCACTCTCCACTCGCCCAGGAGAACTGCCAGGGCTTTTCAGCCCCAGTCTCCAGGCTCACTGGTCTCAAGTTGGCCCTGATCATTATTTTAGACAGGCAGACTTTTATTTATATATTACAAAGTGGTCCCATTCATTTATGAATGTTTTAAAACTCCAGAAAATGAATAGCTTACCTTAGAGGTAACAACCATTAACTGCATGTCCTTCCAGCTTTTTTTGACTGCCTGCATACACATAGATACATATACTGTATATTTTTAATAGGAATAGGAGATTATGATGTCATATGATGTATACACACACACACATATTTTCAGTGGATAATTAAATTCTGTGGCTTTAAAAAACTATTTCTAAGTTATTCTTCTGAAGATGTATTAATTTTTACCAGCAGTATATTTATTTTTAAATATTTCTGCAAATTTGGCAAAGTATACATTTTATAATTTGACATTTTGACCCTCTGTCCCCATGCTGGCCTGGCCGGACTGACATTCATGGTCTTATAGTCCCACTGGGGATATGAGTCTGTTCAGTGATGGCCTTGGGAGCTAAGTCTTGGGGCTGTGCTGAGGGAGAGGGGCTGAGGGCGTGGAGAGTCCATGATACGAAGTTCCCGTCCTTGCTGGTGTCACTGTCCCTGAGAAGAGTTACTGTTCTGTAAGGAAAGCACAGTTGGAGCCAGAATGAAACTCTGAATGGCAAGTAGGGTCATCTGTGCCTTGGGCCTGGCTTGGGAGGCCCAAGATGCTGACCACAGATACTGTTGGTAGGCGCGGCTGACTTTGGGGTTGCGGGTGTGATTTCTGTGTCACAGATTTGTGTCTGAAGTGGCGGACCCTCCCCTTCCAGCTGCATTCTGTGGAAAAGGAGTATCCTGACACCTGGGTTTGCTCCATGAACCCTGATCCTGAGCAGGACCGGTGAGCACTTTTCTCTAACGCGATTGTGGGTATCTCCATCCTCTCACCATGTTTTTTCCGCTCTTTGGGTAAATAACTCGCTACGCTTCTTGAGATCAGTGCTCACATCTTTACATCTGTCTTGCTGCACGTAGTAAGTGTCCAGAAATAAGAATATATGTGTGTCCTGCAGTGAGTATTAATCCCTTGAACTTGGGAATTCTGAGGTGGTTGCTCTGATGAAAGGCGTGAGTTGGCTGAGGAGGAAGGGCCCTGCCTACGTGGAGCCTGTTTTCCCACGGCCTCCTTAGCACCTTCTCTGTACAGGTGTGAGGCATCTGAGCAGAAGCAGAAGGTTCCCCTGGGGACATTAAAAAAGGACCTGAAGACACAGGAAGAGAAGCAGAAGCAGCTGACAGAGAAAATTCGCCAACAGCAGGAGAAGCTGGAGGCCCTGCAGGTGCGTGGTCCTGGGCCGAGCAAGGCCGAGTCATGTCTGTCTGGGATGGGACGGGGCCTCTCAGTGGCTCCCCTGTTCCCTCGGGCTCAGTTTCACTCTCCACTCGCCCAGGAGAACTGCCAGGGCTTTTCAGCCCCAGTCTCCAGGCTCACTGGTCTCAAGTTGGCCCTGATCATTATTTTAGACAGGCAGACTTTTATTTATATATTACAAAGTGGTCCCATTCATTTATGAATGTTTTAAAACTCCAGAAAATGAATAGCTTACCTTAGAGGTAACAACCATTAACTGCATGTCCTTCCAGCTTTTTTTGACTGCCTGCATACACATAGATACATATACTATATATTTTTAATAGGAATAGGAGATTATGATGTCATATGATGTATACACACACACTATTTCTAAGTTATTCTTCTGAAGATGTATTAATTTTTACCAGCAGTATATTTATTTTTAAATATTTCTGCAAATTTGGCAAAGTATACATTTTATAATTTGACATTTTTTCATGTTTTTAAAATTGGGCAATTTTCCCAGGTGTCTGTGTTTCTTTTAGATTTGCTTATTCTCTCATATTTCTGTGTTTTTCCCCCATTGATTTGTCAGGGTGTCTTAGGTGTATTTGTGGCATCAGCCCTTTACTGTATGTGTTACAGAAGCTTCTTGCTTTCTGGCTTCTGTGTCTGTGCAGATGCTCTCACTAACTCAGACGTCCTAGGCCCTGTCCCTTTTTGCTGGATCCCCTGTCCTTTCTTGGCCTCATTCATCAGGCCTTTCCCACTTTTTTTTTTTTTTTGGCTGCTTTAGTGAGAATTTAGTCCAGTCTCTGAGTTGCTGGGTTAATCATATAGAATCCTGCCATTGCGGATGGTTGGTGTCTGTGTTTTTTGGGTCTTCCCAGTGAGAATGGGAGGCTTGTAATAGTAGGGCTGGGCCCCGGTTTTCTTCCCCACTGGCCTGGACGGTGCGGATCCAAAGAGCGTCTGCCTGAGTGTACCAAGGTAGGTAAACACCTGATGATCGCATTTGTCCTGCAGAAGACCACGCCCATCCGCTCCCAGGCTGACCTGAAGAAGCTGCCGCTGGAAGTAACCACTAGACCTTCCTCTGAGGTGAAGTGAAGCCCAGGCAGGAGGGGCTTTTCCTCGGGTGTCGTGTGCTAGGACCTGTCCTCACTCTCTTTGGGCTTCTTGTAGGAACCTGCACGTAGACCTCAGCGTCCTCGCTCACCTCCTTTACCTGCTGTGATCAAGAATGCCCCGAGCAGACCCCCTGCCCTTCACACTCCCAGGCCAACCAGAAAGGCCCCTGCCATCAGCAGCACCCCAAAGCCGCCTGCCCTGGCAGCCCGGGAGGAGGCCTGTACATCCAGGCTCCTCCAGCCGCCCGAGGCACCCCGAAAGCCTGCTAACACTGCAGTCAAGACTGTGCCTCGGCCTACCCCTCCGGTGCAGCCGCTGTCACCATCTCTACTGCCCAACTCCAAGAGCCCGCGGGAGGTCCCCACCCCCAGAACCGTCAAGATGCCAGTGGTCAAGAAGCCGGAGCCCCCTAGTAAACCGCCCCCGGTAAGATGCTTTTCCCCTCGGTGGGGTGGGAGTGGAGCTGGGCAGTCAGTGTCCAGAGCTGAAGGGACTTACTTCTCAGGGGCTCAGAGCAAGTGGCTCTATTTATTGAGGCAGCTTTTCCCTGCTCCTTCCGAGGTGTGGGCTGTCACACACTTGAACGGCCTCCACTGTCTCCTCATGCTGTAGCATATGTTTGTGGTCTGGTGACACAGCCTTGCTCAGCTCAGCAGTGGGTGCTGTGTCTCAGGGAGGTCACAGCTGGCCGTATGGAGTGAACTAAGCCTTCCCCGGTGACAGCTCTGAGCACAGGACCTCAGGGGCACGGGGCCAGGAGTTGCTATACACTGAGCGATGTCAGGTGTCCTGAGCCTGGTGGAGAGTGAGACACACAAGCTTCGCTCTGAAGCTCCTTGAGGCCGGAGAGAAGCTTCCTGCACCTCAAGGACTGACGTGGCTCCTTCTCTTCCCTCTCGCCTCGCTCTAGGCCACCCCTGGTCGGAAGCGGGCTCTTGATGCCTCTGACGAGGAAGAAGTGGAGGAAGAGGCTGAGAGGAGGAAGGAGAGACCCAAGCGGGGCAAAATTACTGTGAAGGAGGAAAAGAAGGACTTGAGTGAGGTAGGTGGTCGAGGGGAAGTTCTCTGCAGTCTGCACGGCTCCGTTTGCGCTGTGACGTGAGCCTTCCAGAGCGCAGTTTACAAAGATGACGGAAACGTGGTGCCAGGTAGGACCCTGCGGGAGAGTGGGTCCCAGGTCGGAGGTCACATTGACGCAGAATCAGGGAGGTTTAAACCCCTGCGTTCTGTGTCCATGACATTCTGTCCCTTGCCCACTATCTTGTTTATAAAGGTGACAGAAGCGTAGACACCTAAGATAGTGGTTTAATAAGTGGCACTTGGCAAGTCCTGGTGATTTAAACTGCCATGTAATCAGCATGGCGGTGACGGCTGATGACCCTGGGCAGCCAGCCATGCAGAAGTCTGCTCTTCAGGAGCTCTAACCCTCTGTTCTCCTCACAGCTGTCAGACAGTGCTGAGGAGGACTCAGCTGACCTCAAGAAGGCGCAGAAAGGTGAGTGGAGGGAGGTACCTGGCCGCCGGTGGGGGAGGCGGGAAGTGGGGCCTCAGCCAGCAGCCGCTGACCCTCAGTGCTCACGGAGGCTCTCCGGGCTCTGGGCTCTGGTGCTCCAGTGGCTTCAAGTCTAATTCCAAGAATTCTGAAGAAAGCCCACCCTTGTGTGCATTCTTAGCACTAAAACCTCTGGCACTCATCCTGCTGCTCTTTAGAACTCTTATGACAGATGGGGGAGGAGACCAGGGTCACTGGGTCCCATGTCCCTGGCATAGTGGGGACAAGCACCCAGGAGTTCTTGTCCCTGCAAACCCTGGGATGACCTTTCTCGAGGTGTGTGACTGAGTGGGGGAGTTTAGTCAGTTTTCTGACTTGGGCTCCATCCCGTTCTCAGATAAAGGTCTGCACGTGGAGGTGCGTGTGAACAAGGAGTGGTACACCGGCCGCGTCACAGCTGTGGAGGCAGGCAAGCATGCGGTGCGGTGGAAGGTGAAGTTTGACTACGTGCCCACAGACACAACACCAAGAGACCGCTGGTAATGCCCCTCGAAGAGGCTGCGTGGGCTGAGTTGGCCAGGGCAGAGGGAGGCTGTGTCCCATCCTGGGAGCTGGGGATACATGACAGAAACACTGTCCTCTCCAGGGTGGAAAAAGACAGTGAGGATGTGCGGCTGATGAAGCCCCCTTCCCCGGAGTACCAGAGCCCTGACACCCAGCAGGGCGGTGGCGAGGAGGAGTCCACAAAGGCCCCGCCGGTTGAGGCCCAGCCGGCTGTGGCCGTGACAGATCCCTCCACTTCTGACTGCACCCGCATTGAGCCTGATACCACCGCCCCGAGCTCCAACCACGAGACCATCGACCTGCTCGTCCAGATCCTCCGGTGCGTGTCGTGCTGCTCCAGGGCCAGCGGTGGCTTTCTCCTCTCCTGCCATTCTGACGTCTTGCCCCACCTGCTTTCTCGTTTAGGAATTGTTTACGGTACTTCCTGCCTCCAAGTTTCCCCATCTCCAAAAAGGAGCTGAGTGCTATGAGTTCAGATGAGCTGATATCCTTTCCTCTGGTGAGTCTCCCTGACCTTGGATCTTGCACGCTGTGTGCCCCCCTTGGTGCTGCTTGTGGTGCCAGCTCTCAGCTGTGTGCCTCCCAGCCAGCTTCCCCCTCTTATGCTAAGAGAATGGAGAGGAGACTACACGGTGGGAAAAGAAGTGGCTCAGCTGCACAGGACTCTGGTGTCATGAGACCCTGGCCGGAGTCCTCACTGACGGACAGTAGCCTGGTTTGACATTTTATGATGAATACATCTCTTCCTCTACCTGGGCAGAGGGGGTAAACCTGACACAGGCAACAGTGAAGAACTTGAGCTCAAAGTGCCTAAAACTTGACTCTCAGAGGGATGTAGAGAGAAGCTTGTGGTGTGGAAATGAGCACCGAGTCGTATTTGTCGCAGCAAATGCTGATGTGGCGCCTACCCTGAGGGGCCCTGTGCTGGGAGGGAGCAGCAAGAGTCCTGCTTCCAGGGGCTTAAGAGTCAGTGGAGACTTGAGTTTTTGCCGGGCACCTGGCTACAAGGCAGAGAGCGGTACATGCTGTGGAAGTGGGCAGTCTGGGGGAGGCGAGAGAGTGGCAGGGGGACTCAGGGATGAAAGGGCAGATGGGGGAGGGTGAGTATTTAGGAAGGAAGGGGGCCTGAGAGCAAGGATGTGATAGGTCTTGAATGTTCGGTCTTAAAGCACAGTGACTTACACTATGGAATGGGAGAGCCAGCCAGATGGTTGCGCTGATGAAGTTGTCCATCTAAACCATGTCTAGGGCAGCGGTCAACCCACTTTCTGCAGAGGCCAGTTAGCAAGTACTTTCACCTTTGTAGGCTACACAGTGTCTCGCAGCTGCTCAACTCCACTATTGTAGCCTGAAAGCCACCATAGACAATACATAAAGGAAAGGATATGGCTGTGGTCCAATAAAGCTTTATTTACAAAAACAGGCAACAAGCTTATTTAGCCCATGGGCCGTAGTGTGCTACCCCTGCCCCTAAGAGCGTAGCAGCATGTTGGGTTGGGTGGGTGGATGGGAGATGCAGGGCAAGGAGGCTGGTCCAGTTGTAAAGATCAGATGTGAGGGAAGGGAATGGAAGCCAGAGTGGTGGGAGTGGACCAGCAGGTGAAGGCCATGTCAGAGGCCGTGGACAGACTGGTCATTGCCTGAGGCAAGTACGGGAGAGAAGTCCACATGCCTCCTGTGTCTCAAGCCTGAGGGAATTGGAGGTTTATGACAAAGCTGTTACCTGGGAGAGAAAGCAGGGCTTTCATCAGAGTAAGGTGATGAGTTGAGATTTAATTGTGTTGGGCCGAAGTACTGGCACTAAAATTTCTGGTGATGGCCAATGGGCAGGTGGAGACTGGGGACTAGCATTTGGGTCAGGGCTGGAGATGAGGACCTGGGAGTCACCCTTATCAAGTGGGCTGTTTCATGGTGGAACCGTGAAGTTTTCTAGAGAACTGGACTTGGAACTGCAAGATGAGTATATTCAACATGTTGGGCCCTCATGTGGCAGCCGTGTTCTTGATAAGCTTTTCGGAAGTCAAAAACATGGGGCTTAATCTCCATCCCACTTTAAAAAAGGAAATGAGGTGAGGACTTGAAGACACTAAGCCTTCAAGAGGTGAAGTCTGTCGTGATAGAGCCCAGATTTGAACCAGGTGCTCCTGCGGACACGGGTCTTCCTGTTCATGGTGCCATCCAACTTCCCTGTGAGATGAGAGGGGTGGTGCCCAGCGAGGAGGCTAGAAGATGCTGGCACTTACGAAAGCCTCAGGGGAGGCTCCGTGCCCTAACTCTACAGACAGCCCATAGGACCGGCTGGGTTGGCCTGACATCTTGTCAGTCAGATTTGTTGCTTTAGCTTAAAGTTGTTGCCAAACTCAGAGCAAAGCCGGGATGCAGTTGGGGCTCTGCAGTGGGCTCATCTGCTCCAACGAAACATAGTCAGCAGCAGCGGATGAGCCTACAATAGTCTGTGAGCTTATTCTGTACAAGGAGGTGTGTCACTTCATGTCCTCCTGGTTATGATGCCTAAAATAGCTCAAACTTTAATTTTTTTTAATATCAGGGACACAACAGAGTCTGGTGTTCATTATGTCCTTGTCAGTCTAAATGGTGGTCGTTTTTCCCACCATGCTGGACCAGGAGTTCCATAAGGCCACAGGGGTCCTGCAGATAATTAGATTCCAGTACATATACATTCGGTAATATAACAACTGCTTGGAAATCTATAGTTACTTTAAAATAAACATTTAAAAAAACTAATATAAATCCCAGTCAGACTCAAGGTATTATATACTGAACTTTAATACTTTGGAACGGGTATTTTGTGCTGCCAATGTAATTATCATGTAGAGTTTGGGCCTTCTTTTGCCATCTTGGTTTAATAGAATAATATTCTAGATTGTCAGGTGAATAACACAGTTAGATACTTGCCAGTAACACTTTTTAAAGACAGTAGTCAGGCCCTGGCCAGTGTGGCTTAGTTGGTTGGAGCGTAATCTGGTGCACCAAAGGGCTGGTCGTGTGTTTGATTCCCAGTCAGGGCACCTACCCAGGTTGTGGGTTTAATCCCTGGTCAGGGTACATGTGCGAGGCACCTGATCAATGTTTCTCACATCAGTATGTCTCTCTCTCTCTCTCCCTCTCTCCTACGCTCCTGATCAATGTTTCTCACATCAGTATGTCTCTCTCTCTCCCTCTCTCCTACGCTTCCTTTCTCCCTCCTTCCCTCTCTCCCTCCTCCCCTCCCTCCCTCCTTCTCTCCCTCCACCTTTTCTTCCCTCTCCTTTCCTCTCTCTCTAAAATCAATAGAGGATTAAAAAACAAACAAATGAACAGTAGACAGGAGCCACCCAATGGTGCTAGGTACTTCATATATCTTCCTGGAAAGAAAGAAAGGTTAGAGTGGGTAAGACTGTATTGGTCAGGCAGGACCTGTTGGTTATGACTTCGTGTTCATTAAAATGGCCTTATCTTTCTTATTGGTGACTTATGAGTAAATCATGTTATAAGTTGAACTTAGAAAAGGAATAAAGCTCAAAGGCATACGACCTAAATAACTTCACTGGGATTCCAGGTGGCATTTCATTTGAAACAAGTACTCTGCTACCATGTCCACCAAAACGACTATTAACATTCCCACCCCAACCTTTGGAAGTGCCAGGGGCTCGGGGAAGATGGGAAAAACGGATGCTGCCTAAATATGCTACACACACCTGGAGCTGCTGCTGCTGCTTGTTGAAATGGGTAGAAGAGAATTTTGGTCCGCGTTGTGGGTGTGGCTTGGCGTGGATTGCTGACAGGGCTTTTGTGAAGTTGGAAAGGCACGATTGAGCGGGGACTGTGTCCTTTCTGCCCCCGGGAATGGGTGGAATCATCCTCACATTCACTCCTGGCGTGCTGTGGGCGAAAGCACTTCACTAAGTGCTTCCCTGTGTGATCCCGACCTTGTCCTCGTGGCAGCCCCACGAGATGGCATCGCAGTCTCTCTGCTCCGGAGCCAGAGGCTGCGGGCCCTTGTGTCTGACATCCCTTCCGGTTCAGAGCCCTGTGCTGAGCCAGTTGGGGAAACCAGCGCTCATTTAGATGGGCCCTGGGGACCCCTGTGAGCTCATGCACCCCCTCTGGCTTCCCCCCTGACAGAAAGAGTACTTCAGGCAGTACGAAGTGGGGCTGCAGAACCTGTGCCACTCCTACCAGAGCCGCGCCGACTCACGGGCCAAGGCCTCTGAGGAGAGCCTGCGCACCTCCGAGAAGAAGCTCCGCGAGACCGAGGAGAAGCTGCAGAAGCTGAGGACCAACATCGTGGCTCTCCTGCAAAAGGTGCAGGAGGTGAGCCAGGCAGCTCTCTCTCTGCAGCTGGACCACCTGGTCTCTTGGGGGAAGGGGGGGCGGGGCTTGGGCACCTCTTGCTGCCTTCTCCCCACTCACAGGAATCTGTGGTTTCAACCCTGGCTGCACAGCATCCTGACCAGGAGGGCTGAGGTGGTGCGGCTGCCTGGGCCTCCTCCCAGCCAGGCCCACGGTATCATCCTCTGCCCTTGTTTAGACATTTCAATGGACAACCTGGTTTGAGACTCCTCCCAGCCATGAAATAGAAGTTCTCACTTTTCCAGATGACGCCCAGATGGGGTTGGGTGGCCCCAAAGTGGAGAGTGCCCGTAGGGTCTCCATCTTTCACCCGGGCAGTGAGCACTGAGGGAGGGCCTGCTCCGCCTGTCCTGTGGGTACTGGGGCCACCGGCAGGCAAGATAAGGCCCTTCCCTCACAGCCCGACACTCCAGGGCAGGAAGTGCCATGCAGGAAACAGGGCAGACGGGAGGCCACTTTCCCAGGGCTTGAGGGGTGGTCTCTCTGAGGAGGTATTTGAGCTGAGAGGGGAACCAGTCATGCAAGAGTGAGTGTGAGTGCTGCTGGCAGAGACAGACCAGGGCCCAGACCTCAGGCAGGAGTTGTGGGCTGTGGACGCGGTGGGCCTGTAGAGGTGGGAAGTCACTGGCATCATCCAGTTTACACTCTAAGACACTTACTCTGGTTGGTTGTAGGAGGGCCTGGCATGGCTAGAGGTTAGAATCCGGGACTCCAGTGAGGTTCCCACAGTTGTCTGGGTGAGAGATGCTGGCGGCCTTAACCTTGGATGATGACAGTGAGGAGGGAGGGAGTGGGCAGGTCTCTAACATCTGAGGGAAAGGGAGGAAACAAGGGTGATTCCTGTGGTTTGAGCCCGTGGGTGGAGGGAAGGCAGTGGCCTGTACTGAGATGGGAACAACTTGGGGTGGGGGGTCTGGCTGTGTTGTTTTGGATTTATTGAGCCCGAGAAGCCTGCAACACGTCTACGGCAACCTGGAACTTGGGGTGGAGCTGGGCAGAGGGAAGGAATCTGGCATCATCTGTGCACAGATGTTGGGGTGGGCGGGATGATCAAGAGGGGACAGGGGTAACGGCTGGGGGGTCGGGGAGAGGAGGGGACTCCTCAGGCCCCACAGAAGGGTGGGGAGGCAGGCCCCCCACCACCTGATGGCCCCCAGCTGACGCTGCCCTGCTCTGTTTCAGGACATTGACATCAATACAGATGACGAGCTGGACGCCTACATCGAAGACCTGATCACCAAGGGGGACTAAGGGGCTCGGAGCCAGAGACCAGCTCCCTGCTCCTGCCTCAGGGCGAGTTCCCAGGGGTGGGGGCTGTTGCATTAGTGGGTTGGTGGACTTACATTGGTTTGACTCACATGGGACATTTGTGCTTTTGGAGGGAAAATGCTCTGATTCTTTGAATCTTCCTCCCTAAGTTTATAAATATTTATTTTTTGAAAGAAACGAGATGCTGCGCCTGCTGTGAGACTGTGCTTTCTCTGTGTGGCTCTGGGGCAAAGAGAAGCAGAATGTGTGGCCTGAGCTGCTTCTCGGCTCCTGGCTCCTGAGGTGCAAGTCCAGCATCTGGAAGCCGGAGAGGCTCCAGCAGGGCTGGCTTTTCTCCTAGAAGATGAGCTATGTGGGATCTGAGGGATAGAGGAGGGAGAGAGCCCCCCAGAGTAATGCTCCCCTAGGGATGCTGATCCAGGGGACGCTCAGGGGGTCAGGGGTCAGGAGGACGCGTGGCTCCGAGTGGCTCCTGTCTCGGGTCAGGGATGTGTGGCCTGAGCAGCTGTCATCTTGGTGGTCTTTGTCTGAACAGCTTGGGAAGAAAGACCCTCTCATTCAACCTCACACCCACCATGTCCCTGCTGCTGGAGTGACTTCCTCAGTTGACCATTGGCAGTGAGGTTTCCCGCCTCGGTATCTTGAGGTTGAAGAGCAGACAGACAGGACACTGCAGACTGCTGGCCTGGGTAGCACACCAAATGCCCGAGTTCCACGGGGCTTCTTTTAGGAAAGGGCCTCGTGGGTGGAAGAGCCCTGGTACTGACGTGGTGGGGCCTCCGTCTGTGGTGGGGCAGGGTCTAGAGAGCCTGATGCTGCTTTTTCCGTTATGGCTCCTCCGCCTGGCCCCCTCATGCCCAGCAAGGCCCTTGCTGTGGGGCGGACAGAAGGGTGTCTCTGAGCCCCACTTGCCCACAGGCACAGAGGTGGGCCCTAGGTTCCCGGAGATACCATGCTTCCCTTCTGCCTGGTCCCAGCCTCATACAGCTGTGTCCCTCCAGCAGCCTCTCAGGGTCCAATACAAAGGCAGGAGTTGCTGTGTTTTCTCTTTAAGAGCTAATGGAAAAGTTCCAGTTTCATCCCCAACTCACTGTCCCCCCTCTGTTTGGAGACTTGGGGTTTTCTGAAGGCCGTGCACCACTGGTCTGTGATCCACACCGGCACCTCCCACCCCATGTCAGCGGTGGCTCACACGCCGCCCTGAGGTCTCAGGACTGGGAGGCACGGGGGAGGGAAGCAGGCCCCATGAATTGGGGGTCTGTCCTCTTGTGCGCATGGCCAGAGGCGTCCCCAAACCATATCCCTGGGGGAGAGGGTTGTTTGGGGAAATACCGCTGAGAGTGACCCTGGCTGCTTTGGAAGCTTCTCAGAGCCTTGGGGTTTCTGAGCGGGCGATTCCTCCCTGGCCCAGTGCTCGCTCTCCACCCCAAGCAGCATTTGGTCCATTTTCCCCCAAACCTGTTTTAATCTAAAAGGAAGTTGGTTTTTACCAGAGGGTAATACTCAAGTTTTTTATTTACACACCTGTAATCAAAGTGCAATACTATAAACTTCTACTGGTGAGACTCCTGAACTCAGTCTGTTTTCTTCTCTTAGTAAAATCTAGCACCTTCCTCCTTTTCTTCCCACCATGATGGCTTTAAACTGTCTTCAAATTCTCCCTCATCCCTACCATCTTCATTGTTCTATGTCTTCATCGTCAACACCCACAGAAACTGAATTTCTTTAACGTTTTACCTTTGACTTCTGCGCCCACTGTACTGACTGCAGCCCGTTTGCCCGGAGAGCTCCTGCCATTCTTGGTGAGAAGATAAAACGCAGTGGACCTGGTTGGGAGGAGGGAGATGGTCTGGCTGGTAGGAAGAGCCTTACTTAGTTCAGGCAGCAGGAGGTGGATGAGTGCAGCAGCCCTTGGGTTTTAAGGAGTTGGGGAGGGATGGGGAGCTTTCTTGAGCCTTTTTTTAAGTGACACATGCACATGGTAAAAATTTAAACAGTACAAAAGGCTGGACCATGAAAAGCAAGGTTCCCTTCCACCCTGATTCCCACTTCTCCCTGGAGACCATACCCATCCTGAGCGCGCGCGCACACACACACCCTGCTCTCTCTCCCCCACTTACTGTGTCTTGGAAGCTGCTTCGGAATAGCCCATATGGGTCTGTGTTATTCTGAACAACCACATAGCACTTCACTGACGGGTGTACTGCCACTTAACAGTCCCCTATTTATAAATATTTCGGTTTTCGACATTTAAGAAAAATGCTGTGATGAGTGTATATATTCGTTAACTCATCTGTCTGTATATAGGGTAAATCCCAAAGAGAAATGGCTGTCAGATGGTGGATTGTTAAAAATTCTAAGATACATTCCAGAAAAGACTTCCAATTTCAACTTCCCACACACGTCTGCATCTACCATCTTCATTCTGCAGTCTCCTTTACTAATCTGAAAAGTAAAAAGTGATGGATTTTTAAATTGGTTTGAACTAATTTAAGTGAGATTGAGCATCTTCATTGTCCAGTTGTATTTCTCTTCTGGTACAGGCCCGTAATTCTGAATTTTGGGTTAGGGACTCTACAAAAGAGTTTACAAAAAATCAGATGAAGCCCTGGCTGGTGTGGCTCAGTGGGTTAGAATGTCATACCATTACACCAAAGGGTTGTGGGTTTGATTCTTGGTCAGGGCACATACCTAGGTTGTGAGTTTGATCCTCACTCGGGCACGTATGGGAGGCAACAGATCGATGTTTCCCCCTTAAAACCAATTTTTTAAAATCAGATGAAAAACAGGGACAAAGGCCTCAGTAAAGTGATCACCTTACATGATCCCCCTCCCCCTCCGCTCCAGAGTGTCCCGTGGATTTAGGATTAAAACCCCACTTTAGGATCAATACTGTGTTTATTGCCAGATTGGGAGCAGGATTTGACATTTTTGTTTCCTAAAAGGTATGGGTTAGTAACAGGCTGAGGAAAACCTCTGGTTCCTCCTTGGTATCCATCTGAATGACCGCTTGATGGCTCCTCCTGGTCAGTTCCCAGGTCTACGGGATTCAGACCCGTGTGCTGGCCACAGGTCACAGCTCCAGGACCTCTGAGTGTTCACGACTGATCGCAACTCAGACTGACCTGCCACGTGCAGAGAACACAAGGCTTGGCCTCTGGGTGGTGCCTCCGCTGGCTCTTGTCCCTGCAGGTGGTTCTGCAGCCGGGCCAGGCTGGAAGGGAGCTGCTGGCAGTCACCTAGGCCCCTGGCACTCCCTCCGGTTCCCCTGGAGGCTTCCTTGGGAACCAAGAGGCCACTTGGCACTTGGTTCCCGGAGCAGATGAAGGGCAGCTTGGCCAGGGGCGGAGCATGCGTTCCCCACTTCGGTGGCTGGAGCTCAGGCTGTCCTCTGCCCATTCTCAGCGCTGCTGGGCGCACCATTTCCAGAGTAAGCACGACAGACCCGACAGACAGAGGGCCCGGCCAGGCACATCCCGCTCCCCGACGGCGGACATGGGGCCAGGCCTGCTTCGCAGTCTGGCTGTTCCACCTGGGAACTCGGAATGTGCCAGGCCCAACTAGGGCTTCCTTTCAACTCTCAAGGCTTCCGGCAAATCACCGCATCCTGGCTCCCCATTCCTTCTCGAAATAAAGGCGTCGGTGGTAGAACAGGTCTCCCAGCTTATTTAGCCCAAGGCCGGTTCTCCACCGGGAATGTATCCAGAGGCCCAGACGACTGCCCATCATGTGGAGTTGGTGGCACTGAAGTTGCAATAGTGAGTGGCTCCTTGCTTCCCCGGCCCCCAAGATTCACTGTCTCCATTGCTCCGCTGCTCCCTCGACCCCACAGCCATCCTCCTGGCTGGTTAACCATTTGGCGGGTTTCGGTGTCCCCCGAGGGTGAGGAGGCTCCTCCAGCCTCCACAAGCTCGGGCTCTGGGTGCTCAGCGGCTGCCAGCCAGGCCTGGAGGGTGGGGAGTCCGTGCAGGGGAACGGCCTGAGGACACGGCCCTCCTCTCCTGTCCACTCCGCCGTGGGATTCTCGGGGGCCACTTCCTGCCCCGACAGCGGCAGGTTTCGTGGGCAGCTGAGGCCACTCTAAGCCACACGTTGAGCTTGTCCCTCCTTCCCTGCGGCCACTTCCTCTATTGCAGCTCTGGGCGCTCGCTGCCCTCCGCTGTGCCCCGCACAGACCCATCCGCTACCCCGGGCTTGGGGGCCGCGCTGGTCGGACACCATATTTGTCGGAAGGAGGAGTTCTGCGTTCCTCCTGCCAAATCCAGGATCAGAATACGAGCCCGGGCGCTGGCTTCAAACTGGCCAGGGCCCGGCCATCTCTCTCCAGAGGCCTATCGGGCGCCGGCCTCTCCCAGGCTGCCCCGCGCCCTTCTCCACGCCCCGGAAGTGACTGCACAATCAGTGGCGCCTGCGCAGTGTGCTGCACCGCACGTGCACCTGCGTCCTGCGC